AAGTGAAGTGAGTGAGTAAATGAGTGGCGTGACGTGAATAATTTAATCATTTCGCTCAATGTAACATTTAATGTATGATAATTGTTTAAATTCGTCAAATCATGGTGTTCACACCAAATATTTAACATAATTATTTACAGAGTGGCCACGTTGATTTCTATCCAAACGGAGGAAAGGACCAGCCATCGTGTGATGGTCTCGTAAAAGGTAAGTTGATGCAAAAATGTGTTTAGGAAAAACTATATCCATTCTAATCAAATCTATTCTATTCTAATCTAATCTAATTCTGGATTTTCTCCTATAGAGGTCTGCGATCACATGGAGTCTTGCCGCTATTTCATTGAATCTATCAACAACGTATGCAAATTTACCTCGTACAATTGTGACGGCGAGCTTGGTGATTGGTCGAAATGTGCGTCCTCCTGTGACGACAATCAGTGTAATTACATGGGATACTATGCACTGAACGAGCCCGAAGGTGTTTTCTACCTTGAAACCAACGAGGATGAGCCATTTTGTCAGGGATGAATAAGATAATTCTTACGATAGCACTATATATTACATTATTTCACAAATTAATTAATTAATTGTTTCTGTTAATGTTTTAAAGCCAATAAATGTAATTACTGTCAATTGGAATGACTTTTTAATAATTGCGTTCATTGTAATTAAAGCCGCATACGTCAGCATACGTATCGGGGAAGGTAATTTTGCATCTTGATCATCTAACAGAAAAACAAAACCTAAAAAGATGCATCTCGATTTGACATTTCAGAGACTAAACACTATTTTTCGCAAAACTTTTGACAGCACCAATTCTTGTATGATATAGGGCCATTTAATAATAGCGCATGGCAATTTGGCCCAAAAAAATGCGATTTTGCATTTTGGCAAATGTCTTCATTGATTTCGTGTTTTTCAATGCAAGTTGCAATTTCAAATAGTCTTGGTAAAATTTATCCGTTTTTGTTCACGTTTCAGATTAGTATCACTTGGTGTTACCTTTCAAAACAACGTCCATCTTACTTGTTACCTTTTACAAGAATAATAGACAGAGTAACGAAATGTGTTTTTGTTTTAACATCAAAGTATATAAACTCAATTGCAATACAAACTTTTTCAGACTACGTTCGTATCTTAGTGATTGATCTCAGATTGAGGTTCGATTATTTTTTATTTTTTCATAATCTAGAATAATGCTGTTCGGTGCGTTTTCAGATAGAGTTTACTGGTGAACGATCTTTGCATAACTGAAAAGCAATTGCACACTGCCGATTTATTTATTTTCGAGCTACAACTGCGCGTTTATTCAATTTTACTGACATGTCGGGAGTATTATAATTGAAATAAAATACCCCCGCACTACCATTGTCAACTTTTACATTCTTATACGCCAAGTTGATTCGAGAAGAGCCGGTCAGAGTGCCGAGGAAGCGACTGAAATTACTTTCTAACGAACGTACCATACCTTCTATTCATAAGTAATTCAGCTTAGAGCGTTCTCGGTGACCGGTGAGCACAGGCATGACACGCGCAGAAATGCTCACAGTGTAGAACGCGCAACAGCGATCCCAATAGCGACTTTCAGTGGCGGCTTTGCCGTACATTTTTGCTTCATATAAATAACACCCTAAACATCAAAACAGAGTATCTTAATAATGATACATTTTCTTCTGTGCTATTTAGGACTACGATTACCAAATATTATCTTCTATATATCTTAATTATGGCACGTTCGTTGTCTATTCCAGATGGATAAAGCTCTTTCAAACCCTTGAAAGCAACCCCGAGATCAACAGCGACCGGAGCAGTACCAGTGCAACAACAATTTGTTATGCGCAGTATCGTTGCGCAGTAGTTTCAGTGACGACATCCATGTGATGTACCCACTTGGCGGGCAATATACCATGTTAATCCATTTTTTATTCAATGTAATGTGACATAATCAAAACCAATCATAGCATGCGGAACAACTGTGAGATGTGATAAATTACAACATACCCGCAAGCCACGCGGACATTATACTATATTGGCGTCTGCACGTCAGGCCACGCAAACAAGCGGCGTCGGTACAAAAATTTTCTTGTCAATAAGTCAACAAGTAAACTCCCGAATTCGAGATGACAAAAATATTATTAACTGTAAACATCGCGTTAGGATCAGAAGTATTACATCCAATTGTTTCTGAAATATTATTCATTAAGGTCACATGCGAGTGAAGAATTCCGAAAAAAAATAAATATTTTTATCCAACACGCTAAAGCCGCGGTAGTATATATCCTATCGGATCAGTGTATGTCAGTTTGGGAAACATTTACAAAATGTTAGCTGGAAATATTTGTTACTACATAAAACAAGGCTACAGTAAAGTATTCAAATAGTTAAGATGGAATAAATTTCTATAAATAAAACATGCACTCTAATGTAAAGTACGTAGTTGAAACCATAACCAGAACAACTGATACTCCTCTCATATTTATTTTAGATACCCGTCCGCAAACACCAGGTGTTCTTCTCATGGATGTGGACAATGTTTGTGATGAAAACGATATTTTGTGTATGCACTCTTGATTGCAAAATGTAAACTATTAATCCAGCTTTATATATGTTTGTTACTGACAACCTTGTCAAGGTCAGGTAGACAACATTTTTTCATACTGTCTAAATCAAGTAAATGAAATATTGTTATCAGTTTAGTGTTTTTTTTCACTTACACAATGAAGTATCATCTTGCTTTGGCTGTCGGGCTAGGATGTTTGCTATTGTACGGTGAGTGGTGTCGTTGCTTTTGATATAAGTTGTTGACAACAATTCTCGCCGTTGTTCAGAATAAAATAGACTGTTAATTGTTCTAGCCACACTGTGTTACAATTTCCAGGCGTTGCTGACGAAGTATGCTACGGTGATCTCGGCTGTTTTTCCAACGACCCTCCCTATGACAATGTCAGATACTTACCAGAATCGCCTGCAGAAGTAGACACCCAATTCTGGCTGTACACACGTCTTAACCCAGATGTTAGTCAGACACTTAACCGAACTGACCCATCCAGTATTATTGAGTCTCATTTTAAGGCTGGTAGTCGGACCATATTTCAACTTTATGGATGGGGGGGATTAGGGAAACCTGGTATTGCTGGATGGGTGGATGAAATGCGACAAGAGTTCCTGAAACATGTAAGAAACAATTCCGGCACATATTATAACCCTAAGGAAAAGCATCCAGAGCTATATGTAATCATCGGTGTTACAGTATCGTCGTAGTGTTAATTGATAATAATGAGATATAACTGTTTATTACTAGGACGACATGAATGTAATCTTGGTTTACTGGGATTCAACTGGTCGTTATCCACAATGTGTGGCAAACGGCAGAATAGTCGGTGCGGAAATCGACGCGCTACTCGACGCATTGACGTTATACACTGGCTTCGACGTAAATGACGCATATTTGGTTGGACACAGTCTCGGGGCGCATGTTGCGGGGCATGCAGGACAAAGAAACCCCATGATAGGACGAATTACAGGTAGGAAAATCGAACCAGGAATCATATTTAACAATAACTCCCTCGAAATCATCTGGAACAATTTTCTATGTTTACAGGTATTGACCCAGCGGGACCAGCGTATGAGAACCATGACCCAGCTGTTCGACTCGATGCGACAGACGCCCAATTTGTTGATATCATTCATACTGATGGTGAACGGATTATCCCTCAGGCCGGGTTTGGCACATGGATAGAGGTGGGTTAGCAGTTGTGGTAGTCATTCACGTATGTTTGATGTAATTATAAGGCCGAACACATGTTAGCTAAATAAAATATTGTATGTTTCTATAAAAGCTGGCAACGTGTTTGGTTGTTATATATCCTATATATAAAAACGATTAGACAAATGAATATATTTGATTTTGAAATGAAATCAATTAGAAACCTAGTCATTTAGTGTTTTGCAGCCATATAAGAAATCTTTACTATTTCCCTTTTTTATAGAGTGGGCATGTGGATTTTTATCCTAACGGCGGAAAGGACCAGCCTGGTTGCAAAGGTCCTAAACGTACGTACGATGTCGGACACATTTTGTACCTCTTACACATTATAGAATAGTGTGCACATCGCTTGTAGATACTAACCACGTACACAAATACTGTTATTTCTTGCAGTCATGTGTGATCATAAAATTGGGCGAGACTATTATATCGAGTCAATCAACCAGTGCCCTTTCACGGCTTATCCCTGTCAACTTGAACAGTGGGACGGTTGTGATGCATGCGGTAGCTCTGGTTGCTCGTACATGGGTTATCATGCTGATACTAGTGATGCCAGGGGTGTATTCTATCTTGAAACCAATCCAGACCCGCCTTATTGCCAGGGCTAAAGCACAGCACTATCACCATGATGATTAATGGAACGTGTAGTAAATTGTATTGTTTTATCGTTCTCATATTATTTGCATTCAAAGTGTGTGTTTTTGTTACTGTACGTAAATCGCCTGGAATAAAAAATAATGTCAATTAACTCACTTGTGCTTCAATTTCTAATAATTATAGTTAGAAAGTTATTTTATCGCTTACATACGAGTTCGTGGTCGCTATCATAGACACGTGAACACCGAAGTATTGGTATTGCTATGAAACGGTGGAATATGAAGAATTCGCACTCTGACATCCATGGCATTAAAGATGCACTCTGAGGTAGTTTGAGGTCTATCGTTGTTATTGGAATGGGAAGTTGATGAAATATTCTAGGCGATTTGCTCGGAATGTTTAGTTAATCGCCTGGATTCGACATTCTATTTACTGCGGGCCTCGGTATTTTATGAGCACATCAGCGTGAATCTACGCTCATCGCGGTACCATTCAACAGCGTTTAAAATAAATTAGAGGAACAAATTAATTATGAATGATAATTGGTCGTTTGGGCACATTATTGGCAATTTATTAAAATTTTGTAATTTATTATAGTCCGGAAATACCAATACATATTAGTATATCAGTACTCTTGTCACTCGTATTGAAGTAACAGTTTGATGTATATAGAAGTTGCTGATAATTTAATAAATATATTCCTTCTTGATTGTTGCTTGTCAGGATTTAATTATGTTCGTATTGGTCATCTAGTTATCATTCCGACCTCTCAATAAACACATTTATTCCACAACGTGGAATCTTATTCAAAATACCAAGATTTAATGCACACTATAATATATTCTGCTTTATATATTAAGGGTTTCGTGAAAAAAAAAAAAAAAAAAACTCAGCTCACATTCGTATCGATATTAGCAATTTTTGATGAGTATGGGTAAAATTCTCTAATCGTTATTTTTTAATTTATCATGCAGTGTCTAATTGATTCGATGCCTACTCAATTATGATCTCAGGCCGTATCACAAAGATAAATTGGTAGATAAGAATATTACTGTAACACTATCTTACACATGTATGCATTAAACATGTACAAATATATAAAGTGCTAGACCAGGTTGGATAGTTCACACCAAGGAGATACATATTTATTATTTATATTTATTCATCAGCTGCATCTTACCCATAATTATTTGCTTGAGAATCAAGATGGCTGACTACGTAATACTGATGAAAAGTTGAACATTTAGAGAATGGAAAGTGATATAAAATAATGTAAATTGCATTATCCTACATTTGTGGAGCTTTTTCTTGAGGGGTCATAATGTTGTTTGGCTTGATGTTTCCTTTAATTTTCATTTTAAATTATACATCATATTTACATCGTCAAAATAATATATATAGTTCAAGTCGACGTGCACTTTTTATTATGCGATTACGACTTTTATATAAGAAATTTAGCATTTAATTGCAATGAAAAATAATTATCGATCGATTGATTTGTGCCATAAGGACATACGTTGAAAGTTTGATCTCACGTAACAAACCGCTCATGCCAAAGTTAATACAAAAGAATCGTTATATGTGACATATGCCGTTTTTTTCTTCTGGTCACACGTATATCTATCTTCACGATGGACCAATGTTTACTATTAGCAGATTGATAAGTTGAAGTTACAATTTATCATACACGGCAGTTAATCAACAGTCCTCGATAGAAGCACATGTAATTTCCTTCTTTGTCACTGCTGAGGAATAATTCCATCTGTTTACACATTTATTTATGCAGTGATCTTAGGACTGAATTTATACATATATTAGCACTTCCATTAATAACTTCTATTTCGATGATATGATTACACTGAAGCTTCGCCATATATTAAAATAGTTGTTATTTCATAAACTAGTGTTTATTTTTTTATTTAGATGCAATATGGTGGGTAGATTTGATTTGGTTGGACTGACCATTTTCGTCTCATGTTTCTTAAAGTACGGTAAGTAAGCCTCGATATTCACATGGTCTTTATTAATACAGATAAATAATGTCATACGTTTATTTTCACATAAACACATATATTTCTTATAATTACTCCAGGAATTTGTGAAGAAGTTTGTTATGGCGATCTCGGTTGTTTTTCAAATGACCCCCCGCACGACAATGTTAGGTTTTTGCCCGAGTCACCAGAAGAAATTGGCACTGTGTTTTTACTGTATACCAGACTAAACCCTTATGAGGGACACAATATAAACCGGAAAGACCCAGAAAGTATTATTGGTTCGCATTTTGATCCATCACGTCGTACGGTATTTGTGATCCACGGATGGAACCCATCCGACAAAGTACAATGGATGGTTGATATGAAGGATGAGTTTCTGCAATATGTAAGTACGAACAGTGCGTATAGTGTAACAGTGCTTTTTTGTTTACGGTTATATAAAATAAATGACGATCACATAACAACACAAAACACCATGAAATCCAGTAAGCAGTCTGGTGATACAGGTTCGTGCTTAAATCGCAATAAGCGCAATACCAGGGACTGTACCAGTGCTTCATGGGAAATGTAATTTGCATGGTCTGCCCAGTTGTTTACCGTGCACAGCTATAATCATTTCAAGGTGTTAATTCCGTAAACTAACATCATGCATTAAGCTGTTATCCGATTTTAAAGGACTTATTGAATAGCGTTGTTCAACTCTCATGGGGCCCACGGAATCTTTTGAAAGCAGTTTTCATTGAGCTCCTTATTTCTTGCACGAAACAGCGCATCATCATAAATAATTGTGTTTTTTCAATGACCTACGCAATGTAGTTATCGCACAATACAATGTGAAAAAGGTGCCAACAAATTAACAGAAAAAAAGATTTCGTGATACGGATGTGTGGCACAGGCATACCCAGTTACTCGACGCTCGATATACAAGAATATATGCCCGACTCATATGTTACAAAAAGCTCTTGAACACGGACAATGTTGTCCGTCACCAATCATTTCACTGCGGGCATACATTTCAGGGTACATAACATTTTTCGCGGGATCTTTCAATTTATCCATTTCGAGACACATTTGTACTTTGTCGGGAACGTCATATATTACAGTTGAGAAATATACTCGACAGATTGTCGACATATTTGTTGACTAGTCCCTCGAAAGAACCCCGCTATTATCATGTTATCATGACCAACCAGACCCGTCACATCCGCCAAATGAATGAACTAATCTAGGCCAGTACCCACAGCTTGGTTCGTCTTTTCATCTACGATGTGGTGAAAACCATCTTTTCCTTTCTCGTAACTGACCTAGTTCATCTCTGTTGTCGCTGAAAAAATAAGAATCAAGCTAGTTTACAAGCCCTGAAACCGCGAATGTCTTTCTTTGCGCACATACACTAAGGAAGTCGTTGGAATGCTTACTCACAGTTTCTCCCCTCTAGTGCACAGGTACGTAAATTACGACCCGTGCACACCCCAGCTCGTGCCACCCACACTCGCCCGGGTCTGAACAATTCGTGGAGCGCCGACGACTCCCCTGAAGTGGCCGGACAAACAGCTCACATCATATCATCCCTTATTAGCTCCATGATATCACTCGCACCACCAACTCCGTAATTACATAAACATACTTAGAGATTGAACAAATAACTCGGGATTAACACCTTACATTTGCATAAACCCATGACTGACAGCCAGTTTGAGCAGTCAAAACGACTGTTTGAATCATGCTTTTCCGTCGCCTTTACGCGGAAATCACACTGACATCGCACCGAACTCGTAAATTATCATCGAAATTGTATCGCTTATATATTAATGTTTGTGTACGACATGAACACAAAGCACCACAGTCGTTAAGACTGCCGAAAAGAGTGATTTTTCATGGAGCACCCCGAAACGAAGGTTCACACTTGAGTGTCATTTGCATACTGAAAACTGGCGGCCATCTTTTATACACCCGGAGCTTCGGTTTAAAAGGGTACCACCCTTTGCCACTCTTGGCTCCTGTGCATGTTTAAAACCTGGTAGTACGTGAGTGCCAATAATTGCAAACCATTTTTTCTTGATATTTAACAAGTTTCTGTTTATCATAAAAGATGTCTTGGCCGAGGATAGGACTTTCCAGCACTTGACATATTTATAGATGAATGCGGGGTGATATATTCGTGGTTAACCAGATCTCTCCCAATAATATGCCGAAACGTTTGGTAGAATTTGTTCGGTATCTCGTCAATGTCGGGAGTACCGTGACGCCCACGAGGAAGCAGATTTACAGTAGAGCTGGGTTCGTCAAACTTGATTGTTTCATCAAGATCATCGCGGTCGGTTTCGCTGAGTTTCGATAGGCCTTCAATTACACCTGGAATACCATCAATATGGTTTCTAGTTAGAAGACTCGTTTGCATTGAAGCTGGTTTGTGTGAGCGGCAACCGTCTTGGTCGCCGACCCAAAAGTAAACGTATGTACACAAGAAAGTTGCAAAACGAGCGCCTGTGTAAAAGTCTGTGAGGGTCAGTCGGAAACAAGGCGCCTAAAACCGGGCAAAACACATAGAGCGCCCAGTATTGTATTGTATTGTATTGTATCGTTGCGTTTGTGTGTCGTACATCATGAATATATTGATTAACGTTTGTTTTTGACACTAGGGCAACACTAACTAACATTTGTTTCCGTTCATTTTTAGGATGACATGAATGTTATTTTTGTGAACTGGAAGGACGGAGCGACTGGCTTGTATTTCCAATGCGTTGCTAATACCGAGGTTGTCGGAGCCGAGATCCATGCACTGTTGGATACGTTGACGATGTATATGGGTCTGGATGTGAAAGATGTATATTTAGTTGGACATAGTTTGGGTGCTCAGGTTGCTGGATATGCTGGTGAAAGAAACCCCGCGATTGGGCGAATTACTGGTAGGTAACGCCGATACAAATGTGAAAATAATCGAATGATTCAGTAGTAAATCGCATTTCAATTAAGTTCAGACAAGCAACACACACACACACACAAACTATGCGCATGCGTTTCATATATGGAATTTCCTTGTTTTAGATTGTGACGAGTAACACATTAATTGATTATGGTATCTCAAAAAATCGTTTGGTCCAACCGACGTAGTACAGGATCTAATAACAAAACCACAATATCATTTATGGTATTACATTCATTTTATTTTTTTATATCTTATAAATAAATTAACTCGCTGTTTTCGAACCCTACCCTGGTGCTTCCTCATTCAAAAATGATACGTCTCGATGCAAATCCTGGACCTCAAAACTGTTTAATGTTGGGTTTGGCCGAAATCTAAAAAGTTTAGAACAGAATCACGGTACTTCTTTGTATGTAGTTCGGTAAAAACCTGGTAGCAGCCATGTTTGTTTTTATTATAAGAGGACGCTTACGCGCGTAATCCCATAGTTGGAATTCGCATTTCCTTATATGGTAGGATGAAAATACCCCGTAAAATACCGCGAAATTACGGCACGCTGTAATTATGGCGTTACGGTGACATATGTATAATAATGTGCATCATTACATACCGTATATACCAAATACGTTGGCTATTATCATCATTTATTTCTTGTCACTGGAGTAATTTACATTCAGTGATTTTACTTCCCGGGCGTATTTACTAAATATTCAAGAATTATAATTTCAGTATGAATAATAAATACTTTTCAGGCACTTTTGCTCAAATAGAATCCGAGTTTAATCAAAAGTACATACATATAAACACACATAATAACTGCTTCAATCAATCAGTATTTTTATGATGGCGAGAATATACACGCAAGGACAGCGATATCCGTGATACAACCATTCAATAATGTATTTAGGTGTCTAGAAATGCATTTTCGGTTTGCAATACTCCCGCGAACATCAGATTAAGTTCATACGCTATGACATGCGATATATATTGCGACTTGAAACTGATTTCCATGTTTCGTATACATATCAGACATGTTCGTGAGCGCATTTCGTAAGCGAGACTCGCACATTGACGTCATACACATTCAGAAGATGTAAACACACTTTGTCTTCTTTCAGGCCTCGACCCCGGTGCTTTGGCATTCGAGGATGAAGACCCAGCTGTTCGTCTCGAGTCCACAGATGCACAGTTCGTAGACGTCATCCACACTGCTGCTGGCAACAGTATAACTAATATAGGAATAGGAATAAAGGGAGTGGTAAGTACACATTTTGTGAAGCATTTATATTTATTTAAATTTGGTGAATATTGGCACAGACATTGTTTTAATGTAGAATACATGCTTTGATTGCATGATTGATGGTTGTATTTACTAATTTCAGAGTGGTCACGTAGACTTTTACCCGAATGGTGGATCAGAACAGCCAGGTTGTCCTTTACCAATAGCTGGGGGTGAGTAAACGCTGTAAGGTTCTTAAGTACCCACGTTAACACTTACATATTCATTTAAAATACAAAAATATATCAATATATATATTTTTACCATTCCGGTTATGTTTTGCAGATGTGTGTGACCATAAACGGGCCACGGAATACTTCGTGGAGTCAATCAACCAGTGTCCGTTCACATCGTACCCATGTGAGCTTGGACAATGGGATGGTTGTGATACATGTGGCGATATCGGATGTTCGTACATGGGGTTTCACGCTGAAGAAAGTGATGCTCGAGGAGTGTTCTATTTGGAAACAGAAAGCCAATCTCCGTATTGCCAGGGATGAGACCAATGGATACATCAACTTATTTTTATTTATGTCATGAAATAAATAATTAATCAATACATCCAGGTGATAGGTGTTTATTAGTTGAATACATTAGTGTCATATATCCTAATCGATTGTTGAATAGATGCACAATAAGTTTTGCCCTAGAAAAATGTGTTTGCATTTTCCATTGCATGTAGATATGCTAGACCTCCCACTCTTAACATTGCGGTGCAACATACATAGCCAACATTACCAGAAAAAGCATATTTCGAACATTGTGCATAGTTTGCATAATAATATAGCTTGGTTGTGAAAGGTGCTACCAAAATCGCCATATAATTTGCTATTAATAGCATTTTACAAAACAATTGGTAGAGCAATACACGCTGTATTAAAAATTTTGCACTTGGTAAATAATGGTGCCATTCTTCTTTCACATCTGGTCGCGATAGTTTAATAAAATACTCTTTTGTTTGCTGTGGACATTTCACATTATCAACAAAAGAACATTGTTGATATTGTTGATAGTGTGTTTATTCTCCTGTAGCATTATGTCAATCACGGTGTGCCAGCCCCGTTATTTAGCTCACACAGAACAAAACATAATTTAATATCAAAGAAAATCTAAAAATACCTCGTGTGTGTTGAGAATATTGGGGGCATATGATTCAGAAGTAAATATTGGTGTATATTTGTCAAATTAAATTGAAATAACCTCTAAAACAGAAAGCCAGGCGACTAATATAATTCTTAACTTCGAGAAAACTCTTCTTTAAATAAAACTCTTTCTGATAAATAGTTATCACAATACCAATAATTATGCAAAATAGTAAAGTAAGCGCATTTGTTGACTACCCTAGAGCAATTAATAGATTTATTTGTGTATTTTTGAGATATCCGAGTAACAGTTGAAAATAAAGTGATTTATGCAAATTAGATAATTAATATGCACTATGCTCAACTTTAAACTGAAAAGTATGTGTATTATCCCAGAGTATATATGTACCAAGTACTATTGAAACTTGTGCAACTTAGTATTTGTTATGTATCAATGTTAACTAATTAGGTATGTGCATTTTTGCCGAGTACCTATTCACTAAGTTTAGTCGAAATGCAGTGGTTGGTTCCTGAGAAATCCGTGAAAAACTGAAATTCCACAATTACGCAAATTAGATAATTCGAAGGCACATAATTCTACCAAAACCAAACAGGTCTGTATACTACAGGTCATTGAAAATATAAAAATATTAGTATATTCGTACAGTATTCTTATTCAAAACTATTCTGGTCTGTGGACTATGCCTGTGCATATATATACTAAGTTGGATTGTAATATATTTATTAGTTTTTATTGAGTAATTATTATTCAAATTAAGAAAATAAAGTGTTTTGATTTCAACCTAAATTAATCAGCTCGGCACATTGTCCCAGAACATCTGTGTGAATTCAATGATTTTTTTTGAGATATAAGTTGAAAAGCTAAAAACAAATTACAAATGGGAAGTAGTATTTCAATCATAAACTAATTATGTTTGTGCAACGCTCTGGGCATCTAGTATAGTAAATTTCATCGACATGCGATTAGTTCTTGAGATATCAGTTACAGTTTAATTGAAGATTAATGTGAAAATTAAGCAATTAATTTGCATATATTTTACTCAAATCTAAACAAACCTGAAGAACCAAACCGTAGGTAATATTTTAAAATATTTACAATGATATTAGGGTTGGTATTTTTAAATCCTTCTCAAAAAACGTTTGCTCGTGACAGACAATGTCTAAATATATAAAGTCACCAACATGGCTTCAAATGCCCACGAAAGTGTATGTATATCTTAAAGAAAATAACACTTCAGTCATTTAGCAACAATAGACATCTATAAATAACATATCAAAAGTCTACCAAAATCGGACAAAGGGAAAGTTGATTTTTTCAGGTATTGATATTGCCCATATAATGGAAATATTAAGCCATTTTATTGATGCAGTAAGACGTATATATATACAAATGCATATGGGATAATAATGGTCAATATATCCACATATTTATCACACTTATCATATTTTGTCAGCTAAACATTTTTTTGCGCATTGTGAAGCAAATAGCGCCCTCTATTTACATGTAAAGCGCCACCAAGTGGTGATATTTTCAGAAATACACAGGGTCTGCTATTAGTCTTGTTTCATTGGCATTTTATCAGTATAAATTATACACAGTATAGAAAACTTTGCGATTATTGTTCATATATCATTTTCATTATTAAAAAACACAATTTCAGTAATATTTGGGGCATATTTAAATTCATAATTCGCCGAATCAACAGTATACTTTGCTGCAGTCGGTCTCCATAACTCGCACCTCCCACAAATTATACATCTGCATAAAAACATACAAATGAATCGTGTTTATCAAAGTATATGTGACTGTATGATACAATGGTGATACAATGGTAATATATATGAAGGACACTTCACAGTTACAGGTATGTGGAATGTGGCAATGATCATCATCATCAAGAACCAGATTGGGTGAATTTCTATAGCTTAGACCTCTACATTCATCACACATGGGGGAGCATTTTAGTCCATGTTTTCTACATGTGCAACGTGTCGTTCGACAGTCTGCTTTACATTTACATCTAATAAATTTTAGTATTTTGTCAGGTGCAAGAGGCTTGTCAGTTTAAATAGCAAGCAATTTTCCCTTCTTCACCTTCCAGCCCCATTCTTCTGGATTAACACGAGTTTGCCCTTTCCACATCAGAACCTGGTGGTATACCCGTTGACTATGGTAACCTACAGCTGCAGATGTTGGAGGAATATTCTCAGGCCTTACACATGTAACGCTTGTAGCAACTTTCTGAAAGAATTTTCCCATTCTCAGTGAATCCAATGTTCATCGGACATGCCACCATATAAAGGAATCAAAGCTTTTCTACTGACTCCACAATGTCGTCCTTTGAAGCATCATCTTGGTCAAACACTGAAGCATGGCATTGAATCTGCATTTTGGTTAGGATTTTTTTCAGGGACCTGGATGTGGTGTCACAGCCCAAGACAGCATGTATAAATAATAGGTTTTTGCAAACAAGAAGTCCTAGTTTGTCTTTGGTATGTTTTATGTCCAACACTTTGACTTCATTTTTTGCATTTCGCCGTGCCTCTGGTTTTAAATACAGTTTGTGACTATTTAAGTTGGCATGGTAGATCAACAACACTAACAAGTCTGAATCTACAGCTGTCATCACTATAATGGCATCTGCATCTTCTTCAGCAGGTCGAACCTTGATTCCCTTTACTTCCAGTTCAGTTCCCAGGATATTAGTGAACCGCTGCTTATTTGCTGCATTTGCAAGGTACTGTTGTTTCTTCATATTAATAACCACGCAGAATCAAAGTTAACACTAGTAGACATTTTCTCTATTGAACGCCTAGGATGAGTTGTATCTTTTGTTGATGGTATATCTGGACAGCCATCAACAACAAATGCAGATGCCCTTATATGTTAGTCATCGTGGCCATGGAATTCTCTGTAAAAGTGAACCTCCATCAATATCATACCTAGCCTCAATGGATATGTCACTAATAATGGAACCAACACATTTCCAGACTGCTTCGGCTAAAGCTGGCTTGTTTGCTTCTCGCATCAGTCCATCAGAGGCAAACCACTTGTTTTGACCCTCCTCATCAACACTTGTTCAATTGCAAGATCAATCAACATACCTGCCCAGTACCTACCTGTTCGCCTACCACATGGTATCCATTCAGGAATGATCGAAATACATCAACATTACTTTCTGATAGTTTTGACATAATCTGAAGATATATGTACACTGACTTTGCATAAAGATTATGGCCAGATGCAGCAAAGTATGGAAGCATGTCTGAAAGAGCTTTTAGATGGAGAGACAAGTTGCCAGTTCTTTCAGCTTTAATGAACTGCAGAGTATTTCAATCATCTCTATGTACTGTAACCATAACTTGGAGCGAGTGTTTCCTTGAATTGGTTGATTTTTTCCTGTATTAGAGTCAGTACTTCTACTGAACAAACCGATTCTATCTCTGTCTCGTGTGCAAGCAGCCTCTCTAGGATGGTCCCTGCTTCTTTAAACTCATTTGCTGTATCTTCTGTTTGTGACTGATTTGCATTACTGGAATCGCCATGTTCGGGTATATCAGTTAATTGACTAGCACTGGTATCGTCCTGAATGTCTGATTCTTTTCTTGGTAATGGAAGGTCATACATCATAGACAAAAGCAATGCATATAATTCTGCTTCCACTAGAATGTGAACCCTGATAGCCCTGGAAATAGCCTTGCCACTCAACATATGTCCACAGCATTCTCGGCATAAATTGTCTCCAATAGTTCCTTAAATCCAGATCCACTCATCAAATGTCCAATGCAAAACTCATTTGCACATGTAGACCACCCAGTCTGAGAACAATATTCCTCACACTGCTACTTGTGGGCTCATTCTGTTGGATTTCCAGTGATTTCAGCCACAAAAGCTGGTCGAAGATGAGCACTGGTGTTACATCATACTTCTTGGCTTGTTCACTGATGAAGCACATAGTTGAGAAGAAACATAATTCATCAGTTGATTTTATATCGATCATTGGCATGAACATTATAGATGAGACCCCAGGATGAGAATTTTGATGAACCATTTGCATAAAACCATTCCAAGATGGTCTAGATGGATGTAACAACCAAGAGATTTTCCACAGAAGATCCACATTCAATGTATCATTCATCACCTGCTATCAAACTGGGTAACTGGGCATACTTTAATTTGGCCATGCCCTTTGATAACTGCTTATAATGTTTAATATTGATTTTTGCAACAGATACTATATGCTCGGATGTGACATGAATTTTAGGTATGGTGTTGTTCGACAATATCCCTGGTGTTCAGCCCGTCAATGGTCCAGACATTATGGTCAACATTATCAGCTACATGTTGTATAAAATGTTCGGGGTGTGAAACCAGGAATGTCAGTTTCTTGGTGCAAGGTGGCACAACGTTCAAACTTCTGTACCTCTGAATATGATGAACAAAACCCATGACTATGGAGAGAATCAATGAGAAATCGTGAGCCAAACTGGCGATGCATTTGAACAGCAAGCCTTATTTGTAGTGGAGTCACTATAACTCGTGGGCGAACTGACTGTATGATGGCCTGCCCTATGGATGCCACCTTAACATCAGTGTCTTTTCCAACAAACATATCTTGAAGTAAAACTTTCAGGGTGGATGGAAGGTACTCAATGGCTTTCTCGGTGGATTGCATTTCTTCAGTGTTTGGGTATAAATGACTAGTTGTGCTGGACGATTTCATATTATTTTTAATAAGTTGTGCAGCCGTTTTAATGAGCCGATTTTTTTGGATTCAGGGTCTTCATTCTTTGCATGCTAGTGGAAATCATGTAAAATTGCTGACGCTGAGAAGTTAAATTAAAGTTAAAAGAAGTGCATTAAATATCATATTTCTATCTGGGTGTTTTGTATCCTCTGTTGCTTCCAAGCCACAGTATAAACAGTTGTGGTTTAATTAAAGCCGCACAAAAGCCTTCAAGTCTTGGTAAAAGTTGTCAGTGTTTGCATTCAGAAAGTCTGAAAGTGTTTCAAGCAAATAAATTGCGACATAATCCTGTGCTACTTAAGGTTCGTCTGGTTGCCATATAAGGAAATCACGTGATAATAATCAAAAGTCACATTGACTTTACAAACCGAGCAATTTATAATGATTGACAGTCATGCAAGGACTTGCAAATGACTTGTTTTAACTATACTAAAATATGATTACTCTGAACAGAGCAATTAATACAGAAAGGAAAAAGAGAATCATAGCAAAGTGTTTATATGAGTCTTACCTTAACAATCTTCCCTGTGTAACAGGATTCAGCTATATTTTGGGAATATCAGGGTGTTTAAAACAACCCTGGAAATTACAAACGAGTCATTAAAAGTTCAAACAGTGCTTAGTTTCCTAGATGCTGGTGCTTATAAATAAAGGAAAGATATTTTGTTATATTGACAGGTATCTGGTAAAACAAAAGATTGGTTGACTACTTGACAGGATTAAAATAATTGTAAAAAAATGCTGACATCAGCAAATTTCTGTTCTATAACTGGCGGATAGTTTCTTCAGTTTATCTAAATAAAAAGTGTATAGAAATCACTAGCAATATATATATGAAATAATGTGTAGGCTGTAAGTAATATTAATTACAAAATATAAATGTAAAAAAGATATAAAATGTACAAAAAACACTACCCCTTACTTCTACCCGTGTACAAAAAATTGCCCATGTTATCAGTTCTCGGGTTTTTTGGTAAATCAAAAAAATTCCCTTTGATACCAAAGTTGTTAATGTAGTATTTACTTCCCGGTTCGGCCTGTTTCAGGGCTAAATCCACTGGACTAATAAAACCCAGATGATTTCTTGGACAGCAACCCTTGTGCCACAAGTCAGGTGTCTCCATAGTGCTTTGAACAAACAGAGCTCCATCATTTCAATAGATTTAGAACATGAATATTTGTTAGACTCATATACAGCAGCCCACTTACGAGTCAGGAACTATTTCACAACTATTTTCTATTTAGCCAAATAACTTGGAGGTAGTTCCCGTCGAATGCATGTACAGAATCCTTTATCAAACATGGAGACCAGTCCCCTCGGGACACTACACTACACTTCAACTTCCAACCCCTAGGTCTTTGGCAGGCTTAGATTAGGTCTTTGTTGTTTTCTGCACTGTAATTCACATTTATTTGTTTGGCATAATTGTGAACTGACATGGCTGCTCTGAAAATCGATTTACTGTTCACTGTAAATCTAAGTGTATGTGACACATATTTGTCCCCACTTTAAAATTACTTACTTACTTGTTTTTCGTACATTACTGTTTCAAAATAAAACATTTGTACTATTTTGTAATAAAACTTTTGAAGTGTTTATAATCTGCATAAGTGTATATTATGAAAACACTTTTATTGGAACATTTCAGGGTTAACACATTATGTAAAGTGTTTCCATTAAAAAACACGTATTGAAAAGTGTTACCACCAGAAACATGTTTAAAAATGCTTATTATCAGAACACTTTTTATAATTGATTTCACGAGACATACACTTTGAAAAGTGTTTCCACCAGGGACACGTTTAAAAATGCTTATTATCAGAACACTTTTTATAATTGATTTTACGAGACATACACTTTGAAAAGTGTTTCCATCAGTGACATGTATAAAAATGCTTATTATGACAACACTTTTAAAAAGTGATTTTACTGAACTCACATTTTGTAAGTGCTTATATTCACTACACGTAGAAAAGAGTCTCAGCCGAAGACATCTTTTAATGAATTGTTTATTTACACTCTGAAAAGTGACTTCACTAGACACACATTTTAAAGAGTTTCCATCAGAAATATGTATTGAAAAAGTGTTTATCATTGCAACACTTTGAAAAGTGCTTTATGACAAAAACATAAACTGAATATTGTGTAGTGCTGGTAACACAGACACGTTTAAAATGTATTTACACTGATGATAAATAGCATTAATATAACCATTTTGGAAAACAAAATATATCAAATAATGCGTTTCATGATCAAGCAATTTGCACTATTGTACAGTAATGAAAGTGCTCAATCTCTTTCCATGTGCTATTGTTGTCTCGAATGCAGTCTCTCCGGTCACATAAAATTGCTGGGAAAAAATAGTGGAACAAATAAAGATCATTAATTTAATTTATTAAAACCATCCCCTAAACGGGATTGTGATATTTTAAAACTATATTTACCTAATAAGAGTTCTTCTGACACAGAGGGCGAGGGCACTGAACAAACAATAACCCATATTAACAGAACAACATTAATTCCGAATATTAGCAATATCATTTTGTTCGCTCCAATCGTTTCTCTTAAAATCTGAAAAATATAAAATTATCAAAATCTAGTGAGTAATGTTTAATTATTTATCATTATTGTTTCGAATCAGAAATATGAGATGTAAAATATTTTTGTTAAACTAATGCACATAAACGAAATTATAACCATACATTATTGACACGAACTGAACTGCATTTTCCTGTCTAGTAAATGTATAAACTTGAGTTTAGTCAGTTATCACCCTGACTCTATGAATTACACTTTCCACTAGTACTCGTTTCGTAATGAAGTAAACATATCATATCGTCAGATTTGTTTAGAATAACTTTCGGTTTCTTTCTTTCCTCGGAAAGTCTGATATAGGAAATACTCGGTCTAAGTTGTTGTTGCTTCCTTAACGAATATGCCACCTGTCCATACTCCCGATAGTATTATTCAATCATTGAATGAGCGTGGGCAAAACACTATTTACCAGTTACTTGAACACGCCACATATAATAGTGTTCATCGTGAACACCGTCGTTTACGAAAGGTATCTCAAAAAGAAGTAGCAATCTAAATTATTGTTTTAATATTGTATTTAATGTATTAATGAAATTTAATTAAAAGTTAAAGTTAATTGATTTTGTATTATTTTAGACTTAGAGAACTCAAATTTGCACAGGTGTGTGGTAAACACCATATTGGAATTCACCACTGAGGCTCCGCCAATAGAATAATACCTATACAGAAAATAAATATAATGATTAGATCATTAACGCCTGTCTAGCGCTGCGTCATTCAGCTTACTAACTCGAGCATTGATAACAACACTGTGCATGTTTAATTTCATCGGTTATTCAACTTGTGACAGATGTTTATATTATGTTTATGTTTATTATTATTGAAAATACTAAAACCATTTTTTTTTCTAATAATTACGCTGCATAAAGTCGATAATAAGTATTGCGTATATCATAGATGCATGCCGAAGAAGTGTCCTATATATATAAGCACTTATATATAATCAGATGTTTTAGGTTGAAACATTGCATGTGTGTTTGTTTTAGGAAGTGCTTCAAGATAAAACAATGTGGAAGAATAGTGTTTTAATTACTCTCATGAACACAAATGTACCTTATACATTAACACGTTGCGAAACATTTATAGTCTGGTGTTTTGGGTTGAAACATCGTTGGGGTTATTGCTCTCTGAAGTGTTCAAGCAGTTTTCGAGAAAACATGTTTAAATCACATGCGAAAGTGCTCATTAAAACGTGTTTAAATAAATTCCTACGAACACTTTCCTGAAAATACTAGAATACTACTGTTTTGATAGAAAATACAGGTGTTTTAATACAGCTTTTTCAGTACAACTGTTTTTTAATGTTTTTTTTTTTTTTTTTTTTTTTTTACAAAAAATACTTTTGTGCATGTTCCACAGTGTTGTCATTTGTTTGTCACACTATTTATAACACATTGCGGTTTCTCCTTTCCATATATAAAGCATAAAACCCGTAACCCGTTCCCAGTGAAATCTCTGGGTTTATATATATATATATTCGCGACCATATATTTAAAATAACAAGTCGCCAGAATTAACGAAACAGATTCATAATACTATCCGGGA